CACAAGATCATAAGAAGAAAAGTGTCTGGTTTGTCAGAACTGCAGAGCTAAAATAAGCTGCAGCAAGCACATCTCCTTGGCAAGGAGCTGGTGTCTCTAATTAGAAAAGCTCTGGAGAGTTAATCTTCTTGGGTATGAGACCTATTGCTTCCTCCTGCACCATGTGATGGCTGGAGCTGAGCAGCTTTGAAAAAGGCCTGGAGGCTGGGCTTCAGATAATTGCTATGTCCTACTTGGGAACTAATATCTATATATATATTTTTATATATATATAAGTTCCCAAGTCGGATATATTAATATCCTACACATATACATACATATATATATATATATGAATTTTGCAAACATGAGGTTTGGTGTGCTCCTGTCAGATGGCTGAACTGCAGCAAGGCTGAAAATTGACTGGGAATTGAAGTTGTAAATTCTTTTAGTTAAAAAAAAAAAGTGCTGGAAGTCCTAATCTCTGGCAAGCAGCTGCCGCAGAGTGGAGTAAGTTGTTGTACCATCTAGCTGTGTGAGAGCAGTGTCCTCAGCAGGCAGGAAGAATCCTGGTTGCCTGGAAGTGCCCAAGACTGGGCTGGTTTCTTGCCTGGGGTGGTCATGCCTCACCCTCCCAGAGGTATGGGCAGCAGGAGGGGAAGGGGTTGTGACAGTGAGATGGAACAAGCCTTTCCTGGGACTATAACCTCAGCCACACTGCCAAAGAGATAACCTTGATATTTCAGTGCCTATCAAAGGTGTCTTCTGCTCTCATGCTAATGCTCTCCAGAGCAGGGGGGGCAACTAATCAGCATTGCAGCAATCAGTCATGTTTCCCTTGGCACATGATGAGTGTAATTATTTTGCAGTTCACTCCATGTTCTTGGTACCTGTAGTGATGTTTATTCTGGGAAGCTTCTGGGACTGAGGTGCTACAAAGGTTTTAATTTCAGACAGGAATGAACCAAGTTGGGTTCTTGGCCTGGGCTCCAAATTTCCAGAGTTTCTCCAAGTCCTGGTTGGCCTTATGAGACTTTATCAGTCCTAGTTCCTTCTCCTGAGACATCTACCACATGAGACAGTTTTGATGTGGATACTGATGAACCAGGACTGACTGATGAATCCCATCAGATAAAAATAACTTGTGTGTATCAGCAATTGAACCAAACTGCTTGGTTTAAAAGCAAAAGCCTTGTCTGACTTGTCCAGCATGGTGCACTCTGTCTCCTCCCCAGCAGAACTTCCAACCCTCCCTGCAGCTCATGGGCTGGAGGCACAGGAACTCTTGGCTAAGGCAGGAGGGACTGGGGCTGCACTGGAGCTGCACTGGCTGTCCTTGGGCTCCAGGAAAGCTCAGGGTTTGTGTGCCATGTCCAACAGGAGCTGTGGTGCCTCCACTGTGGCAGAGCTGTGTGGCTCCCTGGCGTTTGAAGGCACTCACCTGGTGCAGTGGGCAGCTCTCTTTCAAATGCTCAACAGCCCCTGAGCAGGTTAGCACTGCCCCAGACCTGACACTTCCCAAGAAGCCCTTACTGAGGTATTAGTCAGTAAAACCTGGGCAAGACTCTCTCAGCCTTCAGGCAGCTGGCAGCTCACCCTGCCATAGGTGCTCTCCTGACCAGTAGCACCCAGATAGAGCCATTTATCTTGTTCTAATAATTTCAGTTACTTGCAGATATCTCTATCATAATGTCATATTCTCATATCTGAATTGCCCCAGATTTGCACCATACCCATGTCAAGCTCTGCAAATAACCTAAGTAGTGATGCTGTAGGAATTTTGTTTTTACTGTCAATCTCCTGTGCAGCACAATACCTTTGAAAGCTGCAAGAAATATTTTTATTATTGGATGTGAACTCCCTGGGAATGTGCAATTGATTATTCAAACCTCATGCTGTTGCTGCAGAGATTTGTGTTGCTGTGAGTGACTTTGATTCCCTGATAGCCTGTCTCATGCTCCTGTCCCCTAATGGAGCTGATAGCATTAAGTCATGCAGTTAATCAAGTGGAAGAAATTGTTTCTCCTTATTCAAAGACCTGATGACTTTATCCAACAGGGAGGGTCTAACAGAATAAGACAAGGAGAAGTAGATGAGATAAGAAACAGCCACAGGACTCACTAAGCAGTGGAGTAGGAGTGTTTTTAAAGGCTTCAAATTTGGAATATAAAAACATTCTGAATGATCTATGGAAAGCCAGCCTTCTGGCTGGCACTTTATTATTGCATTTCTCTGTATTAAGGAGTCAAAGATCAAGAATAAATTCAGTCCAGGTAGTGATACACAGAATTGTTAATTGAGGTGTGTGAGGACAGTGTAGAGCATGGCAGCTCCTCCTTGGAGGCAGCTGGCAAAGATGGGTGCATGGTCCCAAATTATCTGTGTGTGATGGGTTTTCTGCACAGTATTTCCATCACTGATAATGAGGAATTAAAACATAATTCACTAATGCATGAAAAGAAAGGTCTTCACAGGGCTGGGTACTCCCAGGCAATGATTATCCTGATGAAATTAACTTTAATACAGGAGGCTCAGGAGGAAGCATAATTCTCCCTCCTTTTCATGCTACCCATTATAACAATGATCTGTGCAAAACCAATTTGACTATTAGATTGTTCCTCCTAAAATAACTCCAAACCATTTACAAGTATCCTATTAGGACTTGCTGCAAGTGGATGCTGAAGCACTTCCAGAGCTGCTGAGTTTAATTTGTACCCTCCCTGTTACCTTTGGCAGGTGGAGCTGCAGTCTCTGGCAGGTGGAATTCCTGCACTTCTGGGGAATGGCAGCAGGCAGAAGGGATCACTCTGCCTCTGAGGGGGCAGTGGCAGTGTGCTCTTGTTCACAGCCTTTAGGGAGCAATACAAGGATGCTGTGTGAAACTGCCCTCTGAGACAGGCCCCACACTCAGCTCTGCTGTGCTCTCATGAATTTATAACAGCTCTGCTACACTGAAATTGTTCCAAGGCTTTGCTGGTGAGGATGCAGTCAAAATCTCTCCCACAGGGAGCAGAAGTGCTGCAGAGGAGTTTGCCCCCTCCACCAGGTCACTTTGAAGTTTGACTGTCCTGCTAAAGTGTGTTGCTTTTATTCTCAGAGTTACAGGCAAATAAGAAAGGTAGGAAATAAGGCATTTTCACCAGGTGGTGGAGTTCTTTGGAGCAGTGAATCCTCCAGGGAGGCAGAGAAAGAGAAACCACGCTTCTATGCATGCTGCATAAGGGATAAAAATGTACAAGTGTTTTCCATTCCCAGGTTCATCTTTTGCTTTAGGCTTTGGTGAGCTATAGTGATAGTAGTAAAAGATAATGAAATGGTGGCAAATGTTAATAAAGATTATGTGGAATAAGGCTGAACATTGACTAAAATATTGATAAATGAGAGTTTTAAGACAAATCAAAAAGCATTTTTTCTGGCAAATACTTATGCATCTTCCTCTCCATTTAGACAAGATCTTACTTGCAATCAGCTGGCAAAGGCATTGGACATCAGTCTAGAGTAACCAGCACAGCAATTGTAAAAAAGGCACTATTTTAGAGTTTAACTACTTTTAAGTGACTGTGTAACTCCCTTGTGTCAAGGAAAGACAAGTTTTTACTTTTTTGAAAAGTCTATATCCTGCTGGACTAAAGAGTGCAGAAAATGCTTGTTTGCTGGTGAGTCACTAGTGAAATCATTAGATTTGAGCCTTGAACTGCAAGTTGTAGATTCAGGTGCTGAAGAGCAGAACCAAGAGCCATGAACCCTTCCCTCAGCACAGTGCTGCACTGCTGAGCTGCTGGTCCCAGCTTTGTCACATGTGGGCAGGTCTCTGATAGCAGAGCTGGTAAGGGTCTATGAGAAATCCCAAAACCTGCAGAAAGGAGGACTTCTCAGTCACAGCCCCATCCCAGTCCTGGCTAGGATGCTTTAGGGCATCTCAGCACGTTGCTGTTTAGCTGTCAGCTGCTCCTTAAGGCAAACAGAGTTGAGTGTGAATTTGTCACAGTGTGTGACACTGACAGAGCTGGAGCTGCTCAGTGCTGTGGTGGCATTCAGGATGTTGTGCCAGCATCCTGGAATTTACTGCCCACACTTTGCCATGTGTGTGAAGGTGAGCTGGCACCACATGAAATGCCATGTAGGCCAGGTAATCCCTTTAGCATGTATTTAAACTGTTGTGGGATTGATCATGCTGGGTCTGGGCTGAGAATCACACTGAGCTCACACAGTCCAGTGCATTCAGCAAGAGTTCAGGTATCTGCACCTTGATGTGTCACATCCTCCTCAAAATACTACCAGGGGCCTCATCTGCAGTGCTTACCAACCTGCATCTCACCCTCTGCTGCACTTAGTTTCTCACAGATTTCTTTTGTTTTGCTCAAGAAAAGCCCACACTAGAGAGAATTGATTTGGAACACCATAAAGTCAAGTGTTCATTGCATCCATTGATGTTTCAGGCTTGTGTCTCTTGTCTGCTGTAATTACTACAGAGAGGAGGATGTGATAATGGTCAACATCAGAATTAATGAAGGAAAAAAAAACAAACATAAAAGGCCATTGCATAGTGCAGCAGGCTTTGAGCAGAAATGTAACAGGTCCTCATGAAAAATTTCCCTGTGAGTTTGTAAATACTGATTTTCTTCTTTCTTCTTGCAGTTTCTCACTCCATGTTCACAGTGGCTTTCTGTTCCCTGTGGCAAACCAAGGCACAGGAAATCCAGCCAGCCACTCTCCCCAGCATGGTCCCTTCCCAGACCACTCCTGCCAGGCAGGATGGGAATCCCCTTGATGCTGGGATTGTTAAGTTTTCCTGCTGGTTAGGGCCTTTTATACCCTTTCACTGCCAGCTCTGTTCTACTGCTGAATGGTAAGAGCCAAGCCACTCTGCTGTTGAGTTGGTTTGGCTGCTCCACTGCTCCTGTTCCTCATTTGTTCCTTTGGAGTGGACGCAATGCTCAAGGTGGGTGCTGTCTTTGCCCTAAATGCTCAGGTTTGAGATGTTCTGTGGGTTCTGCTCACTCCTTCCTGCTGATCCAAGACTTTTCTCTCCTGGTACAAGTCCAGCACTTTCATCCACAAGTGCTCTGGGCAGGGAGAACATGGATGGGCTGTAGGAGCAGCTGGTTCCTGTGGCTGTGATCTGGTTCATTCCAGCTGAAAAGGCACCTGGGAGGAGTTTGGTGTTTTCCTAAGGCACACTTTGGTGTTCCAGCCCAGCCTCTGGGTAATGCTGGGTGTTTACTCTGCAGTATTTGTCATAAACACTGTCACAAGGTTGTGTATCAAACATCTCAGTTAGTAAATGGTCACATTACAGAATTGATACATAAGGAAAGCAGTCATTGCCAATGCCAAGGAAAAAACATAATCCATTCCTAAAAATAGAAGTGTGACAACTCATGACTTGGTTATTGGGTCTTGGTCAGAGAGTATTTCATTGATTTCCAATGTGGTGTATGTTATTTTTAAGTCATTACCTATTTTTGGCCTTAGGAAAATTTTGCAAAGAGAAGGAGATATTGCATCATATCTGTTCAGTAAATATTTTAGTAATAACATGAAATAGGTTATAAGCAACAGGTTAGGAACTTCCTTCATAGAACACAGCCTGCTCATCAGCTTGCTAAGGATTATCCCCCCCAGTTTGTGGGAATTTGGGGTCAATGTCAGGAAATTTTCTACCATATTTTTTGCTGTAAAGGTAATGGAATATTTTAGTATTAAAATCTGATTTTTTTGAGGATAAATAAATATGGTGTGATGATAAGGGATTCTGTTTGAAATCACAGATAGATTTACTGGCTATTGGTGACTGTGTGGGCTTTCCTTGCAGTGCCTCTATGACCTGTCTGTATCTTCATGTGTGGTTCTGCATTCCCTCTCTCTCCCTGTGCCCACCCTTTCCTGTGCAATCAGGTAAGGAGGTTTCACACCATGTTGCCTCTGCCTGCCAAAGCAGGGGCATTTGTTTGAGTCCTTCCTGGCCAGAGATTGGTCACAAAACAGGCCTGACAAGAACATCTCTGAGACTGCTATGTTGTCATTAATTCAAGTTGAACTTGGCCAGCAGGCTCCAGACTTATCAGAGTGGACAGACAGGCAGGCAGCCCAAGGACAATGACTGCACAGTCTTGGGAAATGAGCTAAAAATAATAGTGTATTTATTTCTGCAAAATGAAATTGGGTTTGATTTGACCAACCTCTTGAGCTAATAAACATAGTGAAAATGAGATTACCCTGGCTGATTTATAATTTCTGGTAGATATTAATTATTGGGTTTTTCTTTTGAATAATTAAAGAATTTTTCCTGCTCTAAGTGAGTGCACTAGGTCTCATTAATCTGAAGTCTTAAAAATATATCCTTTACCTGGAGAGCTAAAAACCCACTAGTTTTCTTATAATTGTTCACTTGCAATGTAAGACCATGAAGCTACTCATAGAAAAATTGTTTTTACTCTTTCCACGTTTCTGTGAGTGTGTTAGTCCTAGTTACACCTTGTCTGTTTATTGCCATCTTGGTTCTGCCTTCTGTTTCTCTCCTGGACAGATCCAGAGTCCCTCTGCAGGATCAGTCATGGCTAAATTTAAGCACACAGCTATAAAATAAATACTGGATAGTTTTCTTTTCCCCACAGACTTCAGTTTCCCTGAGAGAGACCTTAAAACAGAGGCATGCTGCAGCAATTTTTGGTGGTAGCCCAGCTTTTATTTCTGAGGGCATGTTGTGGAGGCAGCTTTCTGTCCAACAGCAGCAGGATGATGGCCTTTAAAAATAGGACCTCTTGCCATTTTGTGTTCTTGTCAGAATGTCACAAATGCCATAAGGTCAGGTTTGTTTTTTCCCATTTTTCTCTTCTGGTTATTGCCCTCATCAAAGGAATGGATTGATTTTGTGGGTGTGGGGTTTCATCCTTGCAGTGGCAGGGCAAGGAGGCCCAAAGCTGTGCAGAGGTTCCCCAGGGCAGCAGGGCTGTGAGGGCACAGAGCTGGGCTCTGCAGAGTGCTGCCCACTTCCTAACACTCCTGTTAGGAGGTTTTGACCTTTCCAAGGATGGAAACAGCAGCTGCAGGAGTGGAGGCAGGACTTCTCACCCTTCCCTCCCCAGAGTATGAACAACCCACGCTCAGGCTGTGGAGGTCCCTGCAGCCCATCTGCCCTCAGGGTTCCTGTCCATGGGTGTCAGCACAGCCACAAGGGAAGTGTTGTATTCAACAGCTCCTAAAGATTGTTGTGAAAAAAACAAAGCCAAACAAATCAAATCATCTCCCCATGAAACTCAGCCACACTGGGAAGCAATGCGAGCACAGAGCAGGGAGAAAGAGAAGGGTGGTGTTTGGTCAAACATGTTGGCTGGAGGGTTCAAGTGCCTCCTGCTGCTCAGCTGGCCCAAAGCCTGGTGCTGAACTCTGCAGGGTGCATGCCAAAGGGCTCTGGCTGCCTTTGGGGATGCTGCAGTGCCACCAAGCCAGCCCTACACGCTCTGGCAAAAGCCAAGGCTGTGTTTGGCACCAGGAATGGTCCTTTGTGCCCAAGTGGCTCCTCCAGGCACAAGCTGTGCTCGTTGCTGCTGGTTTCCAGGTGGGCTGTGCCCTCAGCTGGCTTCATGCCTTGGGCTGGCTGCATCCCCTTGTGTGCATTATCAGGAATGGTGGGCAGGATGGTGTGGTGATGTTCACAGGGGTCCCAGGAGGAGGGAAGAGATGAGGGTCTGACTCTAAGTTTCAGAAGGTTAATTTATTATTTTATTATATATATTATATTAAAAGTATACTAAAAGAATAGAAGAAAAGATTTCATCAGAAGGCAAGCAAAGAAAGCAGAGAATGGAATGATAACAAAAGCTTGTGTCTCTGAGAGTCTGAGACAGCTGGATTGTGATTGACCATTAATTAACAACAACTACATGAAACTAATCACAGATCCACCTGTTGCATTCCACAGCAGTAGATAATTATTTACATTTTGTTCTTGAAGCCTCTCAGCTTCTCAAGAGAAAAAATCCTAAAGAAAGGATTTTTCATAAAACATGTCTGTGACAGACAGGATGGGTGTTGGGAACACCACCTTCCTCAAGCAGGTCACTGGGGGCAGGTGGGATGGCCCTGTCCCCTCTCCACATCTAAGTTTATTCAGCTGCAAAATTGGAATAGTAGGAAGCTTAATGTCTGGGCTAAACTGCTACCCAAGTCAAAGGTGGTCTCTTTATTGCTTGTAGTAAATAACAAACATGTTCCCAAGGCTCTGTAATTAGCCTTTTTTGTAAAGGGGAAATCAATTTCCACAGTTTCCTTGCAGAACTTCTGCATCCTGTCTGGAGAGAGCAAACATTTATCATCCTTCAGGAAATCCTGTGGGGAATCTTTGGAGCTGGCAGGGTCCAGCTCAGAGCAAACTCCTGCAGGTACCATCCCCATGACAATTTACCTTTGAACTTCAGACCAAATTCCTCAAAAAAGGAGCAATCCCTGCTGTAGGGAAGGGAAGAACAGTTTAGGAATATTCTCTATTGCTTTTGGAAAGCAGAACCCAAAAAAGGCAATTTTCAGGAGAGGATTAAAAATTTGAATCCTGAATTCAATAGCTGATAGGGAAATCTGTTTTAAAGCAATCAAACCCACTCAGCCCCATCCCATGCCTCTAATTGCCAACACCAGAGTGTACCAATGGTAATCTGCACTCCTGGGGTATGGGATAGAGAATCCAGGAAATGAAGAAATGGCAGGATTTTGACCTTTCAGCAGAAGATTCTGCAGAAAAATATATTCTCAAGTATGTTTATATTTCCAGAGAAATAAACATTCTCCAAAGGTACTCTAACAAGCAGATCCAGAGCAGAGTAGATCAAATGGGTTTTTATTTGCTCTACATGCTGTTGGGCAGCCAAGATTGATCACTTTACCTAGGGAAAATGGAAAAATCAATGTAAAAGAAGGAACAGGTTAAGTTTTAACAGTAAAAAAAATGAAGCTTTCCTCATGTGTCCATAATTTGATGCTGTTTTTCACAGAGGGTTGGCAGGGCTGTCCTTTCTGTCAGCATGAGAGCAGCTGGGAAGTGCAGGTGAGCACGAGGGCAGGCACTGCAGGGCTGGTGGGGAGGTGTTTGTGTGCTGGTGTTACTGGGGGGTGGGCTAAGAAGTGTCAGCCTCACTCAGTGCCACAGGGAAACTCTTTGGAAGTTTGGGATTTGGAAAATTCCCACTTTGTTTTAAATTGCGGGAAATTTGATTGGATTTCAGTAATAATTTTTTTTTCTGAATTGATGCTACGGTTTTTTCAGAATTGGAATATAAAAAATGTCAAGTGTGGTGCAAGAACTCTCAATGTAACAGAATGAACTGGGTTGGAAAAGACCTTTGTGATCAAATCCAACCTATGACCTAACACCACCTCATCAGCTAAACCATGGCTCTGAGTGCCACATCTGGGCTTTTTTTAAACTGTTTGGAGAGAAACTTTTGTTTTAAAACCTTTGACCTGTTCTAAGTGAGACATTGGAATTATGTAACTGACTGAAAACAATTCAAATTTAGAAATTAAAGCAGTTTTCTGGGTTTAAACCCACTTACTGCTCTGCTGTGGGGTATTTTCAAGGTTATCTTTGCAATCACAGGTGACAGAATACTTTTCCCAGTGCTGAGACATGGAAGCAATGCATGATACTGTCCTGGAAGCTCCTGGGAGCTGTTGCAGTATGGGTTTGTTTATATTTACAATTTAATTGGACTTTTTCCTGGCACTTTTTTGGATTTAGCTTAAGAATAATCCATATTGTCCAAATAACTTCCTAATAATAAGTACCCACTGTCAGAGCTAAATCCCAATATTACACTGCAAAGTAGCTGGAGAATTACCCATTGCCTTAAATAAAAATCACATTTTCCCAAACCAAGCTGTAATCAGTGAGAATTGTTGATTTTCAAGACTTTTAAAACTGAGTCAATAAAACATGCTGAATCTTACCTTATCTACATTTTGAGTATCAAAAAGCATTAGTGTCTCTCAAACAGAATTATTGTTTTTTAAAACACAGTGAAATGAGAATGTACCTCTGCAAATTTAGCATTTTGGGAAAAATGGTTTCTTGAATAAGAATATTATAAAAGCCATCAGAGAGAAAAGTGCTGCTAGGAGGAGGATGTTGCATAAGGTGTCTGAGATAAAGGTTTTACTATTTTTTGTGTTCTCATAAAATTTTACTGAAATGGAAGATTTTTCTCTTTAAATGTTCATTGTTATGCACATGCTTTGCAGAGATAATAGCTACCTTTGCCTAATCCTCATGGGCTGATTTGAATACAGAATTGGAATCATTCTCCAATTGCTTTGAACCTGCGGGAAAAGTATCAGCGTTTATTTCAAAAGACTTGGTGAGTTTTAAGTTCCCCCAGACATCAGAGAGATTTTAGCTCATGACTGAAATCAATTGCAATATTTATCTGTTGGCTTTAATTTTTAAATATCCTTCAGTATCAGGACCCAGAACCTGATTTACTTTTCAAAGCAATTTAAATTTTTCAAACTCAATTTTTTCTTTTAAATATAAGATTTTTTTCTCTTCTTCAGCACACTCCATAAATGCACTTATGATGTGTGAATGGGAGTTCTATGCAAGTTTCTTTTTAAGGCTGGTTCTTGGAGTACCACATTCTGTGGTGGAGAACTTGCTCTGCTGGGCTCAGGGGGCTGTACAGCCCAACCAGCCAGTGCTGTGAGGATGCACCCCGAGGCTGCTTTGTCACATTATGGATGTCAGGGCTCCAGTTCTCACACTGAACAAGTATTTTGTTTATCTAAAATGGAGTCACAACAAGATCCAGTTATTCAGCAAAACTGATCATCCTGCAGAGCATCCTGATGTTGTCCTGCTCCCTGTGTGCAGATCACAGCCTCACATTTTCAGTGTGAGTAACTACAAGTTTTTCCTTAGCTAGGAGTTATCTTGAAAGAAATCCAGTCACTTCAGACCTGTCCAGAGCCACCCTGGATCCTGAGGAGTGCCTGCAGGGAGTGGCTGATGCAGAGCCCTGTCCTGACACTGGCAGTCAAAGAGGTGAAGCCATGGTAGGCCAGAATGTTTAATTGTCCCTGTGAGCCCCTGAAGGCAATATAAACATCAGACTCCAGCCTACAGGCTTGTCATTCACTTCACAGGAAGCAGCAGCTCTCTTCAGCCTGGTGAGGAGGCTGATGTAAACAAAACAAGATCCTGAGGAGGCATTTCCAGGATTGGGCAAAGGTTTGGGCTGGACCTGGACATGGCCAAAAGCAGGTTTGCACTGTGGGTGTCTCTGGGTGCTACTGCCCGTGCTGCTGCTTTCCTGAGGTGCTCAGACCCCTGCTCGGAAAAATGAATGTTTTAATTAAATCATCTAGTCAGGAAAAATTGTTGTCTGTATTTAGATTTATGGATATGTTTAAAATTAATTCCTTTTATTAATGGAACTGAAAGATGTGCTGAATTTTAAACACACTTTAAAATGCTTAATGAAAAAGTGCAACCTTACTGTTTGAAAGCTTTTGGTGAGCTCAAGGCCACCTTATTTCAGTGCTGCAGGGACAGTCACATTTGTGCTTGGAATTCCATTCTTCATCTTCTGGCATTGTTGCATGATCCTCAGCTGAAAATTGTGCTCATGGACAATGAGCACTTCATTTTAATCTTGATGAAATCTTACTGATTCCACAATAGCTTGTAATTTATTAATTAAAAATAGATGGTGGGCTCCCTCATATTTTGATTAACCTAGTATCATTCACAGTAAGAACTGAATTAAATCAGAAATATCAAAACAACTTTAAATATAATGTTCTGGAGGGGTACTGAGAGCATCCCTTGAAGTGCTTTCACTTATGAGACAGCTAATTTGCATGAGTAACCACTTGGCAGCTGAAAAAAACACACTATGGAAAACATTCCACTATGGAAATGATCTTAAATCTTCCAGTCATGCGTGAGAAGCTCCATCAGTTGTCTTTTGGCTTTAACTGGATATGTTTTCAGTGAGAGAAGATGTGAAGGACAGGGGGCTCTGACCTCCTGTGAACCTGTGAAGGAAGTGACAGACAGCAAGATGTAAACCTAAGGACTACAGCCAAGATACAGCTTGATTACAGATGCACTGAGTGATTTGGAAAGATAAACTTTGCATGACCCTGGGAAGAGGAATGCTGCTGAATGCTCAGGATTTCAAGTGAAGCCACTGAAGCATTCAGTAGTTCAAGGAAAATGTTGTGTCTTTAGGGCTAAAATGTAAATTTATATCCCTTTTTTGAAGTCTGAGCATGCAGGTGAATGAGCTGCCCCTCCCTTCTGGAGGCAGCCAGATGTATAAGGGAGTTCTCTGAGACTGAGGTGTTATTGCTGGCTGTGCCAGTGGGAATTGGGTTTGGGAGCAGGTAAAACTCAGGGTTTGCTTTGCTGGAGCACCTTGTGAGGCTGTACCTGGGCTCAGGTGAGTGTTTGGGCAGCTGCCAGACCTGTTTGTGTCAGGCACGAGCAGCTCAAATAAAGAACAACAGTGGGAACACTTTGCCATCTGCATCTCCTTGTCTTCTTTCCATCCCCCATCCACCTTCTCTGGAGAAATGTGGATGCACATTTTGGGGATCCTGCAAGTAAAGAACCTTCTCTTATTGTTTTACCTTAAAGAGCAGACTAGAGTAAGGAAGCTGGTTACAGATATTCATTGCTCTCACACTTGGAATTCTTGTGTATTTCTGTAGAATAAGTGATGATATTTATTGCTTTGCCTTTGCAGAAATCTGGGATTTTGTATCACCCCAGCACAGTTCATCTCTATGGTTCTCAGTAAAATGCATTCATGATGCTGCTGTTTATTACATTAAAAGCAGGTATACAAGAGAAGACATCAAGTCAATTTTGCTGCAGCATTTCTCTTTGTAACTGAGCCTTTGTTCTCAATCTGAAAGTGCACCAATATAATTTTACTCAACTTTCCAAATGTTTGAAATTCAACTGGAATTTTAAGAATCTGAAGTAGAATAATTTTTTAAGATCTAGACTGTAGCAAAAGCTTTTTTTTCTCAAGAATGTAGGTACTAAGGCTTCATCTATCCAGAATTAGTTAAAGACTGAACTAACCAATCTCATGTATTGTATTTAGCTCTGGAGCCTGAGCAAAATGTCTTTTGCACACTCTGGGAAGTCACTCCATGTTTTGTTTTCCCCCCAAATGGGGCATATACCTTCACTCCATCATATCCTTGCTAGGAACTCAAGCTGTGCCTCAGTGCTTTTTCCAGAGAACTCTCACCTTGACTACTTCATGTTAATTGAACAATTTAGGGCTTTGCTTATTTTAATAGTCCAGACTTATGATATTCATCTCTTCTATGCAGTAAGGCAGAAATGGAGTTTCCAGTCTCTGTGGCCACTGGGCAATTTTCTGTGCAGAACATCCCTGTGTGGAAAAGCTGCTGAAGGCTGTCCCCTGGAACAGAACCACTTCACTCTCAGCTCCTCCAGCTCTCATTCCATGCAGGTGTAATTGCACTGGGACCGAGGTAATGGTTTTTGACTTGTTCCAAGGTGCTGGGAAAGTGCAGCCTTCCAGTCAGACAAAGGGAAGAGCTCCTGCAGGACACCTTCAGCTGCCATCAGCAGGGCACAGAATGACTGCTTGTGATGTTAGATGGCAGAAGATGTGCTCTGAGGGGATTTGGGAGGTGAAGTATCTCCTAGTCCCTTGTGCACATTTTTGTCTCCTAGCAAGGGCTGTGGTGAGCCAGGCCTGGGTGTTTGCCTGCTTGCTGAGCTGATGGATCTGTGTGTGCATGGGCATGGCTGAAAATGGCTCAGGGAGATGGGCCCCAGACAGGTGAGGTACCTGGTGGGGTGAGACAGAACTAAACTGGACTCAGCAGCCTCTGCAATGTGCCCAGGAAAGGCAGGGGTGAGGAGAAGGAGCTGCACTCTTGTGATGTTGGGTCACTCTGAAGGAGGGTGGGTGCACTGAGAGCACAGCAGTGAGTGCTCAGAACCTGCTGGGGGCTCTCTTTGCTCTCCTGAATTCACTTGACTCCAGTTTGCACAAGCTTTGGATGTTTCAGCTGAGTTGTTCCTAATTCTTTCCTAATCTTCAGACAGTTAAAAAAGATTTCCCATGTGGCTGGGGTAAATGCTGGGCTGTAGCAGCAATGGTTTATAATCCTTTCAAGAACATTGCCACTGCTCTTAAAAGCACCTGTAGGTTATGTCAAGAGTTTTTTTCTTGGAATCAGAGACACCCCCTGTGCAGTGCTTAAGCAGATTACACACTCTGTGCAGCCACGCTGCTGTTGCAGCTTTTCTGTTTTTAGTTAAGAAAGTCCCTGAGGATCTAAACATGGGTTTTCCTCATTTACCAGCTGCAGGAAAGAACTTGAAGTGGTTATTCCTTGGCATGTGTATGATCAAAGAGTCTTTTGCAGAGGTGTGATCCCACATCTTGAATTCAGGGTTTCATCAAAGCTGCTGCTCTACTGGCCCACATACAGGTAATTGCTTCATGTAGCTGTTTATGCTCCACACACCTCAGAGATAATGCAATAATAAAAATAACCAAAGCACATAACCAAAACTGGTTATTGCTGTCCCCTTGGTGCAGTACAAGCTTTGGGGATGTATGTGGATATGTCTGAGAGACTTGCTCAGTGAGATAACACCTGCTTCTGCAGGCAAGTCTAGACTTTGTGTTTGTGGTTAATGCTGATGGTTTTATTAAGTCCCAGTGATGTGCTTGCTAATTATTTTAGTTTTGTGTAAGTGCTCCTTATGAGTAGATACAAGCTCTTATAGGTTACATCTTGGAAAAAGACCTGATTTTTATACTAAAATTCTAAAGGTCATTGGGATCCTCATAGAAAGAAAAAGGAAGAAAGAGCAATCACCTTCAAAGTCACTGCTGGGGCTGTACTGGGAGCTGGAGGTGAAATACAATGGAAAGTCCTTTAAAGCACCAGCACTTTGCCCTATCTGTGAAAGGAAAGATCTTGTTTGAACAAGAGTTTCAATCTTAGATGTTGGCTGTTCCTATGTATTGAACTGCTCGTTTCATGTTCAATAAAGCATGTTCCTATGCAGAGTTTTGCTTGTTTCTGGTCAGGCTGCAACCAATGTGTGTTCATGGAGAGCATGATGCCATGAACCTGCAGTCTCTGGTGTCAGGATGGGAATCCACAGGAGGCCTTTTAGATCACACAGGGTACCTTCAAAAAGTGTCCTTGAAATCTAATTTCTTTCTCTCTTAGGAGCTTTAGAAGTCACCTGCAGTGACCTAGAAGAGGATATGCCTTAAAATATGTAAGTGTGAACCTGTTCTGTGTGCCGCTGTTGCAATGTGTAAGTCACAGTAAGAAAATATTACAGTGCATCTGGGAGAGATGAACACACTTCCAATAATTTTGCTTAATGACTGTGCCCTTTTCTGTCTAATGCTCCCTGGATTTTTGTGAAATACCAGGGGTTTGCCAGAGACACTTTTCCTAGGCAGTAAACAAAAAAGCATTGATGGGAGCAAATTGCCAGACAGAACATTGACCTCGGAGCAAAGTCTCTGCAAACAGGAGGGAGGACATGGACTGCTGCTCTGAATTGTCAGATCAGAAAGGGCACTGCAGGGACAGAGTTCTCTCAGAAGACATTAGAAAACAAGAGCAGAGCTATGCTAGAGGATCAAGAACAATTTCCACAGCTATATCAGGGCCTGATAGGTAGCTGTGAGTCTCTAGGGAGTCCAGCCCATCTGTTGTAAATGGACAGCAGCCAGAAGATGATAGGCAGCACAGGAACCAGACCTTGTCCCTGTGGATGTTAATGACAAATCAATCCAAATCTCTTGAGCTTCAGGACAGCTCTTTCTTATGTCTAGTTTCAAGTGAAAAAGACAGTTCTTATGTAAAAAGCATGTGTAATAGAATTTTAATTGATAAGTAAGTCCTGATGGGAACCATTCCTTGCAGCTATTTCCTTTGTTAATCAGGTGTACTACCCAGCCAAGTCTGCAGTCCTACATCTAAGGGCTCTGCTATCTCAGCACACTGAGTGAGACACAGCCATTCCCAAGGGATCTCTTACCTGAAAAACAAACCAGGAGAGCAGAAAAAGAAAAGCAAAATTACTTACTCAGGGTTATGAGGATCTGTAGTAAAGCTAGGAGTGGAGTTCAGATATTTGAACTCATGGAACATCTCCCAGCCACAGGTTGTACCAACCTCCAGCAGCTTTTAGATGTGAGGCTCTTTTAATCTCTCAGATGTGCTGAATTTACTTTTTGGGGAACTTTTCTTGTTGGTGCAGTGTGGAAAGATGCAGCTGGTCAGAGTAGATGAAGGATGTAGGCAGACTCAGAGTGCCATCTCTTGTAGAAGTCAACTTAAAGTTGCTGCAGACATTTGCCTGTTGAGAGTAGATGGGGGATCAGCTGCACTCTGCTAGATACAGGATGGAAGAGTTAGAAGATGCACAAGATATCGAAATGTTTCAAAATATTCCATCAATTTGTCAGTTCACAAGATTTACATTGGTTTTAGGTAGTGGTTTCAAGGTTCTTATAAGAACTAACATCTGCTATTACTGGATTTCAGAGAAGTTTGAGTCCACAGCTGTCTAGGAGCCAAATGATCAGGCCAGTACATTTATGTAACTCACAGATCCTCCAGAGCACTTTGGGAACTGCTTTATCTGTGTCAGCCTTTCATTTCCCCCTTTCTCAGGGGTGATGTTTTCTGCCTGTAAAAGGTACCTGGGAATCAGCTGACACACATGGCACCAAACACCTCCATCACACAGGAGAGGCTCAGCATGTGCCAGCCCCAGCTCAGAACAGGGTGAGGGCTCCAGAACACAGCAGGAGTGGGGTGAGCTGGGCAGCTCCACTCCAAACCTCCCTGAGAAGGCTCCTGATGTTTGAGCTCTGCAGGAGACAGGATGTGTTTGTCAAGACATTCTGGGACTGGAGATGAGATCTGTTTCATGAATGAGGGGTATGATGAGGCCATTCTCCAAAAGGGAAAAACAAACAAACAGAATAAAGCCTGCTGATGAGTTCAGATAGAACTGGGACATAGATTTGAAGAAATTTGCATGCTGTTTTCATAAGGCACAAAGAAGGCAAGAAAAGAGGGAGAGTCATAAAATGAAGAGAGAGCAAAGCTGAAGCCAGCACTGGGGGGCAATGGGGGGCTGCTGAGCTGGGTGTGTGAGGGAAGGGACCATGCAGTCTGTCTGGGCATGTGTGTTAGTGCCCTGGAAAGAGCAAGGACACCAAGGCAAAGGGAGGAAACCACTCCTTGTTGATTCTCATGAATGGCTCTGTGTGGTTGTAATTTTGTCAATGCATCTTTCCTCGAAAGGAAAACCAGGCTTGGTGGAAATAAGAATGCAGTTGTGCTGAGACATCCTGATCCATACTTAACCTTCACTGCTCCCAGGCATGGAGGGGGATAGGAAGAATTTTGTGCCTTCACTTTAAACAGTGAATTTAAGCACTGCAATCCTCCTATGTGCTCAAAGAAGGAAAGTAGCTGCTTGGGAGATGTCAGAAAGGCAAATCAGAGTACATTATTTTGGCAATGTTTTGGCTCACCTAGGTGCTTGAAAAAGCCTCATGTACCTTAGTTAGAGACCTCTGTACCCCTCCAAGGAACTACTGAAAATAGCAACAGAATCAGAGTGCAAGAAAAACAGACTGGAGAGCTGCCAGACAAAAGAAAAACCCAGAGTCCCATTATTTCTGTAGAGTTCATCTAAATCTTGGAGTTGTCCTCCATCAAAAGCCAAGCCATTTTATTTATGTCACTTCTTTCACAGTTAATCTCTAGTGTATCTCAAGAATCAAACCAGGACCAGGTTTAATCCAAGATCACACCTAAATCTCCAAGCTCTAGGTTTCTTAATGCCAAGCATAACCAACATTGCCAGTCCTTATTAATAGATTTAGATCTTGACTCTTCTCTTAGCTTGGATTTCTTGTTTATATTTTGGATTTGGAGCTAAATGGAGGTAATGGGAATCAGGAGGGGTCTAGTCCAGTGTTATCACCCAGCAGGATTGCACACTTATCTGGGATCAGGTCAGGTGGTGATGGTGTTTGGAACAGGATGGTACCAGCTATACAATACTGGAAAAAAAGCTGTGATGCTTTGGAGTTGAGGGGAATGAGATGCAAAGTTTTAATACCATGAAACAATTTCTCAAGTGGTCTGTGGCCATTCTGGGAGCTGGGGGTCTGTTCTAGTCTGAGTGCATTCCATACCTTTGTGTGCTCTTATTGTATCCTGACAGCCTGGGCTGGAAAGAGAGCCCAGGCTGGAGTATTTATAGCACAGCTATAGCTGGAAGATGCCCTTGAAGAAGTGGAGGGGACATGGAGACCTTCTGGCCTGCATAAGTAATGCTCCAGCACAAACATGCCCATCACTGCACATCCAGACTTGGCTGGGGAAGGAAATGTGCTCTGACAGCTCAGGCACACAACTGGCAGCAAAACAACGTGTTGTGTAAATAGGCCAGGGCAGCCTGGGCCTGAAAGCTGATTAGGTTTTGTATTTCCAAGTAATTAATAGTCATGAAGAAGGTTTACAAATGTTCTTAACACCATGGAGGCATCCCTAGGCCTGTTACAGAAACACACTTGGGCAGCTGCTGCTTTCTTTATTGGGACCAAGGCTGGTTAATGCTCTCTCCCTGTCACCAGTGACTGTGCAGGCTCTGTGGGCAGCACTGCAGAGACAATTTGCCCCATAACTGTACGAGGCAGAGTCATGGCTCAGATGAGGCAGCAGAATGATCCATCCTTTCTGTGGGGAGCTCAGGGAGTCACCTGGGCTGTGTGTCCAGCCATGGGAGCTGGGCAGAAATGTTCACATCTGGGAGTTCTCTGTCTCATCACATCTGCCACAGCAGGAGCCTCACATGAATTAGGGCACATCTTGATTTGTCTTCCCCTTCTTTCACTAAGAAAATATAAGTAAACTGATATTTCTGATGGAGTTTACTCATGGAGTTTAATCAGAATGAGGTTTGGGAGTTCAGATCCCTGGAGGCAGAGTAGGAAGGGCAAGAAAGCTGGTGATGCAAATCCTACAGCCACAACGACTGGAGCTCCCTTGTCATCTTTCCTTTATTTGCTCTGGCATAAAGTGATCTCAGAGCAGGTATTAATGACTAAGCTGAACAGCTAAAAAAAAGTAATTGGCTTTTCAAATTTTAGTAAAGTGTGTCTGTATTTCAAATTGCGTATCTTTTGTAGTGTCTCTGACCTACCAGCCTTTGTAATTGATCTTTTTGGGTAGTAAATTCACTTTTTATCATGCAGGGATTGTTTTTTTCATCTGATCAGCTGCTGAGGTTTCAGTAAGGATGGCAGCATTGGGTAGGCAATGCTGTCAACATTTTAAAAGTACTAAGATCAGGAGTTTGTGTGACCTCCTCATTAATAGACCACAAGTTTCATCCAGTGTTTCCTACATGGAGTCTGAGAACCTGTGGTTGAAAATTTTGCTTTCTAATTTAGATGCTCAATTGCTGATAATTCCACAATACCCATGAATGGTCTACCCAGTGTCATTTTTCAGGCATGGCATCTTGGTTTCAATTTTCTGATTTTTTCCCCTGAAATTTTCTAGTCTCAGAAATACCTTCTCTAGGCTGATAATTATAGCTCATGAACAAGGTATCTTCCTTTGAATATCTTCCTAGACTGAATTCTTTCAGTTCCTTGTAAAAATAATGGATAGAAGAAACTTAGGAGTAGATGTATAATTAGCTCTGAGATGACTGAACAGTGGGAGCTGGAGCACATCAGAGGTACCAGCACTGGCCCAACAGCAAGGAACAGGAGGAGCTGGGTCACTCTGTTTGCAACATGGTAATTAATGTGATTTGTTTGTCTGAACTGGGAGAACTCTAAACTGTTTGCAGTAGTTCAGTCCTTGTAGCTCTGCTGGATTTCTTGTGGGTGAGACACTCACCCCACTACAGGGCTGTACCAGCAGGGACAGAGCATCATGGAATGGTTTGGGTTGGAAAGGACCTTAAAGGTCTCTCATTCCAGCCCTGCCATGGGCAGGGACACCTTCCACTGTCCCAGGCTGCTCCAAGCCCTGTCCAGCCTGGCCTGGGACACTCCCAGGCATGGGGCAGGATGGCCAAACCTCTGTCTGTGGGCGATGACATCTGGGCAGGCCAAACCTCTGGGTGTTTTACCTAGAGCAGGTGCTTTGGGAACACTTCCCTTCTTGTTTGGAAAGGGGGGCTGGGGTCTCTGGGGTCTCTGTGAGCTGAGCTGAGAACCAGGGGCC